CACTAGAACGGAGGAGAAGCAGAAGCAGGGACAGATACAGAAGCCGGAGTCGAAGTCGTGACAGGAAAGGAGATAGAAGAGACAGGGATAGGGAGCGAGAGAAAGAAAATGAGCGGAGTCGGAAAAAAGAGAGAGATTATGATAAGGAAAGAGGTAGTGAGAGGGAAAAAGATCGATCTAGAGAAAGGTCAAAAGAAAGGAAAAGTAAGGGTGACACAGAGGAGAGGAGACACAAGGATGACAAAGATGAGAAGAAACACCGCGACGACAAGAGGGATTCCAAAAAAGAGAGAAAGCATAGTAGAAGTCGAAGCCGGGAAAGAAAGCATAGGAGTAGGAGCCGAAGCAGGAACACAGGTAAGCGCAGCAGAAGCAGGAGCAAAGAAAAATCAAGTAAACATAAAAATGAAAATAAGGAGAAGTCAAATAAACGAAGTAGAAGCAGAAGCAGAGGAAGAACAGATAGTGTTGAGAAGTCCAGAAAACGAGATCAGAGTCCAAGCAAAGAAAAATCTAGGAAGCGTAGCAGAAGCAAAGAACGTTCCCACAAACATGATCACAGTGATAGCAAGGACCATTCTGACAAACACGATCGTCGAAGGAGCCAAAGTACAGAACGAGAGAGCCAAGAAAAGCAACAGAAAAACAAAGATGAGACTGTGTGAATTCTTTCAAAAGTGGATCACATTGAATCCTATAAATGTTTGATTAAATCCTGCTTATTTTTTCTTAAAGTTGAGATTGTGCAGTAGTTGATGAGCACTCTTCTCCAACCTCCCTCTAGGCTGCAGATTGTCATTTCCTATTTTCGGTAGGGAAGTGCCTTTGTAAACCCATTCAATGCATTGACGGTTTCAAACCATTTGTTTAGTTTAATTTGTAATGCCGAGATTGTTCTTGCATTTTTATTGTTCAGATGTTTCTGAAATGTACAGTCTGTACATATGTCCTGAAAATGTTTTAATTCCTTTGGCATGGTTGCCATGTTGGTTAAATTTGTATGAGGCAATAAACTGCCACTAATTATACTTTCCTTTTGTAGACGTGGAATTATGGTTTGTATCCTGAAGTTAGCATGGCTGTGCTTTCCATAATAGTATGGCTTTTAGGGATGGATCTGGAATGTGTATTATAGCTGAGATATTTATGTGTGTACAATGTACATTGAGGGCTGCAGATTTAGAACTAACATTGATGCCCACTGTATCTGCTGTTTTGTCCAAAGCTTTTAAAATGTATTATGTTGATCACCAGTGGTGTTAAATTGAGTGGACTTTCAGAGATAGTGGTTTTAATGCAAGGATTTAGATTATGTTGGGGCTTGTTTAGTTATTCTGTAGAAAGGCTACCTCAAGCGGACACTGTAAAGGTTGACGGATGAGTACCGTAGCCATCTATGCATTTTATTTGTTTGAAGAAAATCCATGTAAGCTTCCTTTTTTTTAAAAAAAACACAGTTTATCCATTTGTGGTCCTTTAATGTTTTTAAGCAGCTGCACTCTGTCATTTATGATAATCCTGGGCTAATAAAGGCATTTAAGATGGGAAGAGGGAGGTAGGAAGAAGAAAAATATCACAAAGGATTTAAGTTTCAAGCTTCCAAAGCATTTTATAAGTGTAAACATTTAAAATAAGAATTAACTGATAGTGTCCTTTTTTAATTCATATTTTCTACAAATAGTAAAGATCACAGTTTGTGCTGAACATTTCATCTGGCAGACTTTTTTTTTAAACAGGTTGTTAGAAGGAGAAACCAAAATGCATTATAGAAAAAGATCATATCATTAAAGTCCAAGTCTATTTCATAGATTATTCTGATGACTTGTATACTAAGTGAGGAAAACCATCTGGAATAAACTCTCAATTAATTCCTTTGTATTGAGTGTCAGCTTTTCCCTGCACGTTCATTGCCAGTTAAAGAGTGCTTCAGTTCCTCCACATTTTATTTTCAGATGAAGTGACACTTTGTGTGAATAAGGGATTTTATGTAATAAGTAACTTACAACGAAGATGTAGCAAACAAAATAAATGCCCCAAGATAGGAAGAATATGAAGTGGGAATCAATCATTAATTAACCTGAGGGTAGAAATACAGTATTTTGCCTTTTTTTTGCTTCTGTGTGATGCAGGTCATTAGGCATATTTCGTTTTAAACATCCAGCGAAAAGAGTGTTTTGACTTCCAACAGTATACTTCATTCCATAGTATTCCAAGGAGCAACCTTTTTCTTCCTGCTTGTCCTGTATTCAGAACTGTAATGGTCTTTATCACCATGATCTTTAGTAATCAACATTTTGATATTGAAGTTGTTACGGTTGTCTGCTTGTATTTGTGTTACCTGATTTTAAGTCTGAACTTGAAACAAAACTTAAGCTTCAACAAATTCATTCCCTTGCAGTGTCAAACTAAAATACTGAGCTTTCATTTAAGATGGGAGAAGAAAAAAAATGCCCTGTCTAGTAGATAACTAGAATTGTCTCTGCAGTCTGCCAAGAGATTGCATGGATTCTGTCCAGTGAGGGCAACTTTAATTTATCTTGTTTGTGTCTAGAGGGCTTCTTCTGGCCTTGTTTTTAACCTTCAGTCTCTGAAACAAGTATGTTCTTAGGCAGAGCGGCTGCAGTAGCAGTGTTTTGTCAGGGAAAATGGATTACTGATTTGCAGTTTTTCCTTCAGGGCTCTTCCTCTTCTGAGACTGTTGGGCAATACAGTGAAAGAATAATTCATTTGCAGGGAAAAATGCAGGTATTTGAGACAATCTTTGACCTGAACGTGGACAAGCACTGTCTCACTACAACAAAGATGGTGAATATTTTGATACAGCTTGTGCAAAGAGTGGCTCATCCCAGTATCACTTTACAAGTTTTAATTTCAGAACTGTGCTTTTATTTTCCTGAGTAGTCCTTTTTGACCTCTAAATTTAATACAATCAATTGAGTTAGCAGTGTAATGGACAGTGCAATATTCACTGCCAACCAAGACCTGTGAAAATTACTTGAATCAAGACACTTGTCTAAAATTATCCTTGGGATTTACTGTCATACAGTTCTTCAGTTTGTATCCAGGATCTCTTAATTCCTTTTTGTCTTTCTGATGCCATTTTATTATTACATGTGCCCTTCTTTAAAAAGCAGAATGAGCTGCAGGCCTGTGAAAGCAGCTCTGATGAGCAGGGGTGAGCTAGTGGAGGGGCCAGTGCTGCCATTCCCATGCAGTTGTTGCAGTGCAGTGCAGGCACACTGGATGTTGATCTCAGGGGCATTAGAACAAAATTTGCCAATTTTAGCTGGAGGAGCTGTGGTTGCAGAGCTGTTGTCTCACAGTCTGTGCACTCACTCTTCAGTTCTCAGGGTAAATGACCATGACCGAAGCACTATGAACTCGAAGTTTCCATAGTATGCCACGTGTCCATAACAGCCTAGGATAGTTATCCTTGTGAAGTCTCATCTCTCTTGGAAATTTCCTGTGGCTCCAATGCTAAGTACTGGAATGGTAATATTAGTAGCCTCCTACAGCATACAAGTTCCCCTCTAGGGGAACCTGAAGGAATTTGATAAATTCTGCTGGCTTTAGATGTTTGAACCCTTTGCCCCACTGTGAAGCACATGTAGCTTTAAGTATGCATGACCACCAGCTATTAAGCAGGGTAAAACAGCATTTAAGTGCCAATTTTGATGTTTTGCAATTAAATTGTCACTGTATCTCTTTTACTCTTCACCAGCAGTAGTTAGATGTGGTAGAACACTAAATCTCAGCAAATTTGGGTCAAGTCTGAAATCAGCTGAAGGGTAGATATTTGCAAGTTCCTTCAGTGGATTGAAATCTAAGTTTTGAACTATTCTGTGTCAGATGAAGTTTAAAACTCTGTATTTTAAATATATACAAATTTTTTTGCAAGTGTTCATATTTGTGTAATTCCAACTAATACATCTTTACTATTATGCATCAAATTTAATTTTTTTTATTAAGTAAGCATTAATGAAGTAATCTACTGTGAAATAACCTAAGGGGTTTTAATCACCTCATTTGTTAGTCCACGTGATTTCACAGATACTGGTCTGAAAGCATTCATTTTAGCATATCCATATGCTGCCTGCCTACCTCCAACAAGAATTTTCTTGGTTCTCAAGTCTTCTTTCAAGAGACAGTGGAGTTGGATTGTTTGGGGGTTTTTTTGGTAGGATTTTTGTTGTTTGTTCAGTTGAGAATTTATTGCTTGGGGTTTTTTGTTTCATGAAGTCCAGAGCTTCATACGAATAAATAGTACAGAAACAGCATCTACAAAAAATGTGACATCTAATTTGTCCTTTCCTGTGGTCTGAAGCCAGCGTGACCCATAAAAGTGTGTTTACCTCAGTCTGGAGAGAACCTGCAACCACTCCTGACCAAATTTTTCAGTCAGCTCAGTGAATTCCAGTTCTGTTCCATATGTGAATTCTGTTTCACATATCAGCCATGTTAAGTGTTAGACAGTTGTTATTAGACAATGTAATGCCTGAATAACAACACCTTGAGCACTGCCATAGTAGGCGGTGTGAAATCTGGCTTAATTTCATTGTGTTGCTTTTCCTCCCTGTTTTGCTAATTGTATACATCTGCTACCCACTTTTAGAACTGAATCCATGTGCTTTTTTTCTTGAAATCATTACTTCTCTTCAGCTCATTGCCTTTTTTTTCCACCAACAGACGTACAAATAATACATTTTGATAAAATTACACTTCAGTGGGTGACAAAAGAGGAGTTGATGAAAATAGTACTACAACATGGTTGTTTGTAGTGTGTAATTGAGGTGTTAAGGCCTGTACACCAGAGAGAATGAAGAAAACATACACCAACAGTTTAGAATGGCTTAAAGTACATTAGAGTTACTATTAGAGCATGGAATCATCAGAATTGCTCAGGTGAAAAGAAGTTCAGGGCTTGAATTTGGTTCTAAGAGAAACCAATTGCTTTAGATCTCTAAAAACCCAGGTAAACACTTACACTGTGGTGATACCAGAATTGCTCAGGTGAAAAGAAGTAGTTCAGGGCTTGAATTTTGTTCCAAGAGAAACCAATTGCTTTAGATCTCTAAAAACCCAGGTAAACACTTACACTGTGGTGACAATGTGTTTGGCAATGATATTTGCAAAGAAGAAATAATGATATAGAACCTTCAAGAAAGAAGGGTTTATTTTTTTTTATTAAGTAACAAATAAAACCAACTTTCTATTAACTAATGCAGAGCAGTTTTAAATAATGTTTCCTAAAGGAAGACTTGTTTGATGTTGACTAAATGAAGATCATGTTTTAAGAAGCAGCATACAATTCTACAAGCAACTTACTGAAGTGTTAGGTTCCCTTGAGATTTTGCACAAATGATCTGAAGCATTGGCTGAGACACTTAACACCTAATGTGTTCGCTGAACAAAGGCAATTTCCACAATGGGTAGTGTCTGTTTTTATAAGCTGAAAATAGTGCTAGAAACCCTGTTGTCTTTGGATACTTTTGTACACATGAGTTTCCAAAGACTCTGTTAAAGTGTTTGTAGAACCATTGACCTTAAACCTTGCTTTCAAAGTTGGCTGAAAAAGTAACTACTGTGGAGTGTGAGAGAAGGTCCTGCCTGGATTAGGTCTGAGATAGGGCGAGGTGTTCAGCTTTCCTGCTCCCAGTCCTCGAGCAGCTGTGAATGTTGCACTTGAGCACAGATGTGTCTTTCCAGCTGCAGGGGAAAAAAAGACTGAAAATAACATTCAGAGAGAATGGTGTTATGAACAATCTTACCATCCAGGATAGCAGTAGGTGAACAGCAGCAAAAGGAGACCAACCTTAGGGGACAATTTCTTGTCATACCTCTGAGACAGGAGCAGAAAATAGTCCAGAACACCAGGAGAAAGTAAATGAGTGCTGAAGAATATTTTTATCTGTTTGGATTTTAAGGGCTTTTCTGGGGAATTACAGCATAGTGAAGGTTTAATGAAGTGAAAGAAGGTTGTTACAAATGGAGGAGAGGACAAATCAGTAGTGCTAGTAGAAATAAATTACAAGAGATTTCAGAGGTAAATATGATGGATTTTAACAAACCACTTAGGATATACTGAGGACTGGTGAAGCATTTCCCTCCAATCCCAAAGATTTAATCATACATTCTAATATGAATTGCGATTCTTGTAACTTACCTCCTTAGCTGAACCAGAATTTCATCTAGATGTGTTTTGCATTGCTCTTTCCTCTATAAATAACTATAAAAGAATTTGGAAATTAATTCCAGTTATGGAAAAGCAACTGTTGAGAAATTTTTATTTCAGTGGCTGCTTTTGAAGTTGTTTCTAGCAGTTTACATAGGCAAATAAAACACTATGCTGCTGAAACCCAGAAATAAGGTAGAATAGATTGAGGTAATCCACACCTTTTTTTTTTAACCTTTCTGAAAATAGAAAGCAGACATGCCACCTAGTTTCATTTGTAATGGGATGTGGGAAGGCTATAAAAGATAATCCTGCCTTTTATTATGTGCTATCAAATTAGTAGTAAGTGTTGTGATCATGCATGATAGTATGCAGGCCACAATATAGGTAAGGTTTTGTTGGTTTTTTTTAAATTATACATTATAAAATGGGGGAGGGGGATGAGATGAACCTGTATAACACTACCAGAAGCCTTGACTATCAAATCTGTATGTTATGTACATCTTATTTGAAAATTATGCAAAAATATTCTATCAACTTAATTAATTTTTAATGAATATACTGCTCTTACCCATTCCAACAGAGCTTCCAGAACAGGTGACTGAAATGACATGAAACAGTGGTACAAGTGTTAGATGTCAGGTTGTAAGCTGCAAAATATTATTATTAGTCTGCAGTATGTAGTCCATCTATATTACTATGCAATCCCATCAGATAGCAGTAGTTTTATAATGGATTAAATCCATGCCTTGGGAAAGGCAAAGTAATTTCTTCCCCTTTAAAAAAAAATTACTTTAAAATGTTATTAGGAGTGATTTATTGCAGCTATTGATTTGTTTCTTTATTTAAAAAATACGTAAAACAAAATGCTCATTTATTTGGTTCTATATGCTAATCATTCCTGACCTCCCAACTGAACATTAAGTTTTCTGTATTCACCAGGATATGGGTGATCCATTTAGGAGGCACCTGTGCAGATACGTGTGCCCAGACCCAAAATGCTGCTGTGAAATTCCCATCGCAGATGTTGCAAGACTGCACTCATAAAGTGAGTGCACTCTGCAGTCCGCACTAGAGCAGAGAAGTTCTATTCCATGCCCCCTTTACCTGCATAACTTTGGATTACATTTTAGCCATCTAGCATGCAAAAAGCAAAACAAAACAAAAATTCAAATAAATTTAAGCTCTACCTGAATATATTTTCTTAGGACACAATGTGAGCTTTGGCCCCTTGTTGGTCACTGGAGCTACCACCACAGTGTAGACATCCCCACAAGGTATCTTGGTGATATCGCAGTGACTCAGACCCGAGCTGGGGGTACAGCTGAAATTTCCCTTTGAGCCCCGTAAATCAGCGTTGTAGTTTATTGTTTCATCAGAAGCTCGCCAGAACACCCTGATGCCAGTGTTGCTGAGTCTGTAGAGCTTCACCCCAGAAGGGCAGCAAGCACCTAAGAAAGTAAGAAACATTAATGAACTCATTTTGTAAACTCACAATATATTATAAATTTCTGGAGTGCAGTTTAAACCAGATTACTATTACCAGCATTTTAAAGAGAAAGTTATTATTTCACAAAGCCAAAATAATTCTTGAACTGAACTAGAAAAGTTTTATTAGTCATTTTATGGAGCTGGATTTCAGTCTTTGTTTTACATGTTGGAATGTTACTGCTCTCACCTCGCGTAAGACCTACCTTAGAATGCCCAGAATATTTTTGAGTTCCCTAAAATTTAATTATGCCATAGCATAATTTAAATTAAAAAACTTTCCGAAGCAAAATTATTAGAAATTCTTTATATGGCCAACTGATGGCTGTCACAAGAACAAGTCCTGATTATATGAAAATAATCCGAAGTGCATTTATTTAAAGAGGGAACTCCAGATATATTAGCTGTGTGTTGAATTTCAGCTGTGCTGTTTTTATGAGAGGAACACCAGACAAAGTACGTTGTATATTGAGTGTTTTTCTTCCCAGTTGCATCTACACTTTACGTACTGGAAGAATATCCCTGAAAGGTGCAGCTGGAAGTCAAACCCGTCTCACTGATGGCTCTCAGAGACACTGTATAGTTGGTGCCACATGTGATACATCCCAGGAGACAGTAGGTCTGAAGGGTGTGACACTTTGCCTGTCCTTTTGGAGACTCCAGTGTTGTTACATATGTCTGTGCACCCCTCCCAACAGACCAGCTGATATTGGTTACCGACTGTGTCACTTGAGTTAGTATCAGGTCATTAGGGCAACAAGGAGCTGAAAGAGAACAAAAACCAGAGAAGTGACTTCTGTTTTGTACCTGGAAAATGGAAGGTATTTGGAGGGTTGCAGGTAGAACAGTACATGATCAAGATTAAAGGAATGAGGAAGTGCATATTTTTCAGGCATGCTGAAAAATAGTTGACTCTGCTGGCAAGCCTCTAGTAAACAGAATGTTCATGTAAGAACAATTTGTCTCTAACTATGTGTTAGAACCCTGGAATTATTATAAAATGATTGTTCACCAAGTTTCTAAAAATGACTAAGATTTTTCATCAGAATATCAGAGTACATCTGTAGTTTAATTAAGCAGGGTCTGTCTCTACCACTCAAGTCATATATCTCAGTCCAGCTCTGTCTCTGTTTAAAGTCTCTTCCTCTAGAATGTAAAATGACTGCAGCCAAACTGCATGTTAAAAATAGATCCTGGTGTATATTAATCTCTGCCTGGAGAGGTGGTAGAGGACAAAACCCGTTAGCAATTTAATAGCAGGAATAGTGGGTAGGATGTTCTTTAATCTGTTCTTTACAACTGCTTATTTGTTGACATGGACATTACCTCATTGCCTCTCCTGGTAGTACTAAATATCAAAATGCTGACAAGGACGTTATGCATTGCATTAGTGGCTTATGTTATTGCATTTTAGTTAGCTGTGCCAGAAGATAATTGGTTGCACTAAGGCCTCTCAGTATGAGACAACTGCCAAATGACCCTTCCTTGTCACACAAAAGATACAGACAGGTTTATGAAAAGGACATCCAGCAATACATAGTACAATGTGCATATACTGTAAATAAAAAATAGCCAAAACCATAGAGTCATAGAACTATTTTAATATTATGCTGCTAAGTATGTTGAACTATATACAATTCCCCATACCTGTCTCTAAAGGGATACTGTAGCTTGGTAAGCTCTGTCCTGCTGGTGATCTTGCTATAGCACTTACAGAGAAAGCAGATCCACAGGGAAGATCCATTAGGGTACAGGAATTCCTGGTGCTTGTGCAATGCCAAAGTCCAGCCTCTCCTCTGGCAGTGACAATGTACACAGCTTCTTCATTGTTAGGTTGCCACTGCACACTGACTACAGATAGACCCTCCTTTGAGATATTTTTAATTTCAGGACTGCAGGGAGCTGAAATATTTAATATTAATAATATTTAAACAGATTATTTATGCATACTATATAAGTTAAGTGTGAAAATTAAATTCCACTCAGAACTGGCAAATTGCTTCAGAAAAGCATATGATCTTTGTGTGTTTTACTCCTGGTGAGAATTTAGAAATTGTGACAGAACAGACAGCATAAGGATTTTGTGTATAATTTGTAATTCTGATTTTCAAAATACTGGAGCTATCAGAAGCTTTCACACAAATTTAAAGTTCCCCTTCTTATAGTGTATTCTCTTTCAGTTTTGGAGTTGCTGGTTTTTTAGGTTTTTAACAAATTTTTATCAGTAAATTAAGTAAAAGAGTTAAACAGCAACTCAGTACTCCAGCAATGTTTTTCATCCACGAATCACTGTGGTGTATAATAATGATTTCTTCAGCTAAAGGACAATGAGCGATCACTACCTGTCGTCACAAACTGGGGCGCACACGAGGCGCTGCTGCCGCGGGCCTCGCTGATGGAGCACACGGTGATGGTGTAGGCGGTGCTGCACTGCAGAGCCGACAGGGTGCAGGCCGTGGCCGTGTCCCTGCAGAGCAGCACAGCGCTGCCGCCAGCCGCTCGGGTCTCGTACAGGTCAGCGCCCCGCACGGGAGCCCAGGTGACCCGCACCGTGTCGCTTGATATGAACACGGCTCTGAAGTCACTTGGGCAACAAGGAGCTGCGAACAAAAAGGCAGACAGGGAAACCCGAAAGGGAGTGGAAAACTGGTGCAAATAAAAGCCTTGTTTCATTTATCTCTGTGCTTCTTGTCTTTCCCAAAGTTGACCAGTACTGTGCAAACAGTCTAATGAATCCCAGATTTACTTCTTAAATTAATTCAGTACCACTCCTTCCAAATCGATGGAGGACATACTTGGGTTTAGGTCAGACACAGGAATTATCCATATCCTTGGTTTAAAATTTTAAAAGTCTAGAGGTTAAATAACAATGTTCTTCTCAATTTCCCATTGAACTTACTATTTTTTTTTTTTTCATTTTCCAAGTATGAAAACTCCCTGTGAGGAAGTTGAAGACTTTGGTACACTCTTCCTGAGGTAAAACCAAAAAAAACCCAAAAAACCCAGACAGGACTAGAGTTTAAATGTTATGCCAGTGTGTTATTCATATGTCCTTGCCTGATGATTGTGAATTGTTAAACTGTTTTCAAGTTTTATGCATGTTGTTGCACTTGACTATGCAAGTTAAGTTTAATTGCAATGTGAACTGTTTCTTTTTCTCTGCCAACCTGTGTATGTTATGCCCAAAATCTGAATAAAAATAGTAGTTTAAGTCATTATCTTTCCATAAAAATGTCCAAACAGCTCTACCATAAATACAGCTAAAGGATCCAAAAGAATTTGCAGGAATACATGGCTACTTACCAGTAGTGTAATTGAGTACATCACCTAAAGGGCTCTGTCCTGCCTTGTTATATGCAAAGACACTAATGAAATACGTGAAACCACAGTCCGACTGGAAATGGCATTGAGTACGTGATGTGTTGCAGTGCACTTCCAAGCCATCATCACTCTTCACAAAAACCACATAATAATGACCCAAACTGACACTAGACCATGACACCAGCAAGTGACCAGGTTCATCCTCCTCAATTGATATGTTTACTGGTGCACAAGGAACTGAAAAAACATTTTAAAAAAAGAAAAAAATTATCAATACAATTATTTTTTTTTCTTTCTTGAAGTTATACTCTTGGGGAATAAAGGAAAATCAGGGATATATTGAATTATATGGAATATAGAATTATTCTACTCAGCTTGAACAGTTGCTCTGTCTTGTTCAAGAAAGCAGCAACTTAGCTGCCTTTACAGAGGTTGGTGCTTATATTTAGATGACAAGTGGGTATGATTTTTACATCATGTTTTACAGAGGCATCTGCTTAAGGAGCCCTCTGAACAAAAGTGACATCAGGCAATATTTCAAAAGAAACTGGCACAGTGTATGCTTACAAATAGTAGGTTTGGATAATAATTGGAATACTAGCATGAAGAGTAGTTGGCATCCAAAAGCCTCTATATGTGAAAATCCTTTCTATTTTTTCATAACATTTACTGTCTGTGCCTGAGTAGAACTGTCCTTTACTTAGGTTTCCTTTCTGCTGGTATTCCAAAATGCCACATTAAATTGCAAACTCCATGGCTTTTGTTTAAATAACATTTACTTGCTTTCTAGTTCAGTAAAGTGCACCTTGCTGCTATTAGAATGAATAGATACGATCTAGCTGAAGCAGTGTTGACTGAGATTACAGCCCACAGCTTAATAGCTGTCTCTTGCATAAGGTTCTCTCACCCTGTTAGATGCACCACAGAGTAGCTCACAATTGATCTCCTATCAAAAGTCAAAATGAGGCAGGTTACATCAAATAACTAAGTAAATAATGTTGTGTATTTCAAGTAGCATATAACAAAAAATAAATTGTTGAGAGTTTGATTACATGGGCAGATCATCTAACAGGTCAGGAAACAACAATCTCTGACATGGCAGTGGTGCTATAGCTGAACTGAGCAAGCTATTGTCCTGAATATGGTCAATGGTTTCTTGATTTAGACTAGCGATGTTACTTTGCATAAATGTGCTTTTGTTGAACCCCTTTCTAACTAACAACTTGACATGGCCCAGAACAGTTCTATGCTCAGAGGCAGTCCTTAATGCCATTTCCTCACAAATTTGTTCTACCACTGCAAGTTTTTGTCACAGAAATATGAAGAATGTTTAGGCTCTTACCCCTCCAATAGCAAAGTATATGACATAATTCATGAACAGAAGTCAAAAGAAGAACTATTAGAGAATCACCTGTGAATTGGTGTAAATGGACTCATTTGGATTTGAAATTAAAGAAGTAGATGTTAAAATGTGATAAGCTACATCAGAATCAGTGATACATACTCGTTTTTAAGCTTACTGCATCCGTAGGTTCACTGGATCCAGCATCATTGTATGCTGTGACAGACACATAATATTCAGAGCTGCACTGGAGGGATGGCACCATGCAGGAGGCAGAAGATGTGTTACACCTCAGTTCCAGGAGTCCACTGGAGACTGTGACACTGTAAGTTACAGCTCCTTCTGTTGGCATCCAAGAGACAGCAGCTCTTAAAGCACCACTATTGAAAGCTACTTTAACATCCACTGGTGCATTAGGACCTATGGTATATTAATTTGGAGCACAAAAACATAACTTGGATTATGGCCTACAGACATGATCTCTTTCACAACTTGCAAACTAAATGCATTTTTTTGAGTGCAAACCTTACCCTCATTTATGTTAAAATTACATTAAAAAAAAAAATCTAGTTGACCATGGCTGAAACTCCCTGCTTATTTGAATATTTGCTTCTCACAATTAGAAAAGTCCTCAAAATCAGTCTGAGCTTATGTAACTCTTATCCAGACCTGTCCTAAGCACAACTTTAGTGACAGTAATTGCTATCTTTGCCTCAGTAATGTTCACTAAACATAGCCATGTCATCTGAGCTTTCATAAACTTTGAGATGGGGCAAAAATATGATCTGAAAATCTACTCAATGTATCTTTGAAAAACATAATGCAATCACAAATACACATAAATATTTTCTGGTATATTTTTGATGTGTTGTTCTTAGAATGCTGACTTGGTTTCAGAAAAGAAAATTTCTTACTTGTTCTTTGGTTATATGTGAAATCATCTCCAGGCATCCCATTGGCATTCCAGGCATAAGCCTTGATAGTATAGAGAGTTCCTGGATCTAGATTTGTAAATATCAAGGAGGTGTTGGTGGTGTTCTGCTTCAGCATTCTGCCCAAACCATCTGATCTCACAAGTGACACGGAGAATCCAGCTGCCATATGCACAGCTTTCCAGCTCACTGCAATGGAGTCACAACTCAGAGAACGAACAGACAGGATCGGAGCAGCCAGGACTGTTGAGAAAGAACAAAATTATGCTTTTGGTTTTTCAGTAGGACAGCTTGAAAAGGCCAAATTTGAAATGAATATACAGAAAAAAAAAATCACTAACCCTGAGAGACAAATTCAGTGACAACAAAACCAGAAAAAATAAATTAATGCAAGATCAACAGAACAAATTTGGAAAGTGATTTGGCACAATGATTATTGTATTGCACATTTTGTGAAATGAACAAAAGTTGTTCAGAAAGGGAGACGGGCTGCATGTGTAGAAGAATGAAAATCACCAAGAACATACTGCATTTCCTGTCATCTAAGTTTCACTTTGTCTTCCTATCTTATACTTTTGGTTGTTTTTTTATTTCTTCTATTCCTTCAAGTTATGTCTTTTGTTAAAGTAAAATACATATATTCATACAAATTCTAGTGAAACTCCCAGATGAACTTATAACTTACTGTACCATCATAAAGTAAACGATTAATTCAGACTTTTGTCCTGGTCATTATGTCAGATGGCTGAATTCTAGTTTTCAAAAACTGAAAGAAGAATGTAATCAGTACAATTTAAAATAAAGATTATAATAATTCAGGACTGGTACATGCATGAATGCTTTATGTTATAACAACACTACAGAACTTGAAATAAGATTTGAAAGCCCACCTGTTTTTACTTTTCTGAAAGGTGAAGGCTGGCTTTTTCCTCCTGAGTTTATAGATCTGACAGTGATTCGGTACAAGGTGGCAGGCTTCAGTCCTGTCACTGTGCCTGGAGAATTTTTTACTATAGTTTCAACAAAGGAATCTCCATCTTGTGCAGTCAGCATGTAATTAGTAGCCCCAGGTACTGCTCTCCATTCCACTGTGATACTGTTGCTAAGTTTTGAATAAGCTTGGTCAATAACAGGTATATCTGGAGCTAAAATGGAAATAATGATAGATGTACTGAAGTGGGAAAACACAGTCCTGTGGAACACTGCATGCTCTGAACATTTCACAAAGACAAAATGTAGGACAAATAGTCTACACTTTCTATGAATGATTAAAATTTAAGTTAAATGGACTTTCAGTAAACATTAACAAAATACAGTCTTGCAATATTCTACACCAAATTCAATCTTTCATAAAAATACTCTAATACTCTGAAATCACTAAGACCATTATTTAACGTAGGTTTTACTGAGAGGTTCTCCTTCAGAGCAAATTAACTATATTACTAACTAAAGTGATACACAAAGCAATATATATACAAAGCAGAAGTGCATGTGTATACAAAGCAGTCTGAAAGAGGATGCTGAACCATAGACATTTCTATATCAAAGCAACATACAATAATCTAATCTGGAAGGGGTCACAGAACTCACCTAACCCCTTGCTCTGAGCAGATATACTTAGGTATTCAATAACATGACAAATCAAATATTTTAACAATGCTGTGGTGGTGTGCTCTGCCATGCAAAAAGAGCTCTTTTGTACTGCAGACACAAAACTAACTACGCCAGTGTATTTCTTAACCACGACTAATTTATGTTCAGAAATCAGGATTTTCACACTAAAATCAGCATTTATAAAACAATTATACATGTTGCAAGGCTGCAAAACACTCACTAGAAGAGAAAAAAGATGAAATGAAGGTACACCCCACATAAAATTAAGAAAAGGAATATAGAAGTATTTCGGATGAAGTTTACACTAGTATCAAGGTACAAGTCTGAATATTTGCATGACTCCAACAGAATTGTGACTCCTAAAAATGAGATTTAAAATGTATAAAGACATCAGTGTAATATTTTAAGCCTGAATCAAACATGAAAACATTTTTTGTTTACAAAGCTGCTAGAACTTATAGAATATTTTATTAAAAATCACAAGTGGGTGTTTTCTTCAGACCCATTCAAAATTAGTCAGGCAAAACAAAAAAAAAAACATTCTGAGTATTTACCTGTGTTTGCAGAAAATATCTGAAAAGGAAGATGTAACAAAATTAGAAATACAATGTGACATATTTTATTTTGCAAATTAAAATCTAAGAATGTTAGTAACAACAACCTAAAATACTATGTTTATTAACACATTTTACTGATATGATGTATTTGCTCAGATTCCTTAAGCAGGGAAAGAGTACACAACCGATGAGATTTGGTACAGGTACGCAGATTGTACCACTTTTCTGCATTTTCCCCTCTAAACATGCCTATTAATCCCGTTTGCAGTTGTTGACACACTTTGAAAGTATTTTTCAGTCATATGTAAACAGTGCACACTGTGATAGTAGCGGAATACCAACGTGGAAGCGGATGTCTGATAGTGCTCCACCCTAACTTTTAGTTTACTTTTCCAAAGTACCATCGCTAAAATAGCTTTAGAGCCAGTAAGTGGCACTCACCATTTCTAGGCAGCTGAGAAGCACTCCAGTAAACGCCAATGATTTACTCTTTGCACCGCACATCTCGCCAGAGCGTCGTTCCAGCTTCACGCGGGGTCGAGCTGGGCCCGATGCTCAGCCAGCCCGATGCTCAGCTGGGCCCGATGCTCAGCGATGCTCAGTTCCCGGCCGTGCTGGCACTGCAGGCGCAGCCCCGGGACACAGCAGGTCGCGCTGGGCCGGCCGCTCCTCCCTGCTGGATCACAGCTGGACAGCGGCCACCAAACCCTGGTGACACCGGGCCACCACCTGTGGCCATGGCTGGTGGGGGGGGTGGTCTCTTCCCTTCTGTTACATGATTTATACAAGACTCACAAAATAATTAAGCTAAATGAAGTTTGCTCTTCGGCTCATTGTCTATTGTATTTTTCCCCACTCACAAGTGTTTTCTTTTCTGTCGGGTATGATGCCCTCATCGTACTCCCCTTTGAATGGCACCGCCATACAGACTGGGAACTAACTATTCTTCCTCATACCTGGCGCTGCGGAAAGAGAAATTTTCCTCGCATTCCTTCGTATTTGTTCCGGCTGCTGGTTCCCCTTTGAGAACGCAATTTATGTGTTCAAACTACAACAAACAGACGATTATAGGCGCCAACAGCCGCTGTCGTTCTACAACCCAACAGTGCTTTCCTTGGTGGTTTACACGCCTGTCAGCGGGAACCTGGGGGCCGTTTTCGTGAGGGAGCCGCGGTTTTCCCCCCGGGAACAGGGCAGGTTTCGGGAGCCACCCCGGCCAGGCGGTCTCCAGCTCCCCTCTGCTCCCCACACCTCGCCAGGGGCCGCCTCGGCGGCCGGGAGCGGCTCCCGCCGTCCCGGGCTCACCTGAGCAGGAAGCTCCCTCCTCAGGGGAGAGCCCTCGCCACCGGGCACTTCCCCAGAGGGAATTTCGCACCTCATGGTGGCCGACGGAGACAGCCTGGCTCCGGCGGGCGGGTCCGGGCTCCTGAGGGGCTGACCCCGGCCGGCAGGAGCCGCCCCGCCCGGGATCGGGCTGCGCCCTCCGCCCCTGAAGAGGGAGGGGAAGGCTGCGCTGCCAGGCGGGGCTGGCAGCAAGATGGCGCCGGCGGTGCGGGGGCTGAAGAGCTTCGTGTGGCAGAGTGAGTGACCGTGGGGCTCCTTCCCCGGGCCCGCGACCCTGGGGCCGTTCGGTGGGCGCGGGCCGGCCGGGAGCCTCCGCCGCTGAGGCGCCGGCTCCGCGTGGCTCTGTGTGGGGGTCGGGGTGCCCGGTCAGGTGAGGTCCGGGGCCGCTCCGAACGCGGGCGGAGCCGCGCTGCGTGTCGGAGCTGGGGCGGCCGAGCGGGCTGGGGTTGGGGTCGGTGTCGGGGTCGGGCCCGAGCAGCTCTGTGGGCAGCCGCTGTCCGGCGGAGGCTGTGCGTGGCGGCTTCTGCCGCTGTTGCAGGTGGGAGGCGGCTGCCCCGGCTCGCGGCGTTGCCGCGGGTGTCCGCAGTGGCAGCGCTGCGGAGAGACGCTTGTGCCTTTTCCGAGATAAGGGCGAGCTCTGTAGGCTGCAGCCCGCCTGACGGGCTCTAGAAGAGCCTAAATCTAAACTGTTCAAGCGCTTCTCTATCACCTCCAAGCTACTACTTTTAGAGAGTGCTCCGGCCCCAGAAGGGGCTCTGCCCTCTTTCACGGAGGGGCACTTCCCACTTCGTGTTTGGTTTCACATGTTTTGGTAGAAGAAGTTGAAGGTGTTCCCAGGTAGGCTTACGAGTGAACTGCAGATTTTTATCTGTGTATTTTGGAGCAGCTTCTGCTGGTGTTTGTTACAGAAAATGAAGTTGTAACTGCTCCTTTCCTTGCTGGAGTCGAAAGGCTGATAGTATTTCAGGTAGTGTGGGACCTTAGGGGAGAAGGCATAGGCAGCCACCTCATCCCGGGCTTAATTGTCCTGAGGTTGTGACTCCATGAGCTGCTCAGCCAGCCCGGCGACTGTCGCTGAAATGGGGAGCTCCTGCTGCCGGCTTGTTTTCCTTTTCCTCTTCTGCTTCCACCTGAAAGCTGTTCGTTTGTGTCACTAGCTGTGAAAAGCAGACTGTCCCTCTGGAGTTCAGTCCTAATTGCTGGCACCTGTACGCTGCTTCTATGAATTAGGTACCTTTGTTTAAAACGTAACCTTTAGAAATTCCCACTTCTGCTGCTTTGCTTATCGTGCTGTCTTGCTCTTTGTGCCTGAAACTAAGGCCAGTGTTTTGTCCCGAGATATTTTATAGAAGACTTGGACCTTAAAAGGGACCAATAAAAGAGAAATTTCATCAAAGCATAAGTGTGTCATTAAGGGCCATAATGACGTTTGAAAATCGTGTTGCCGGTGTGAGGAACAAAGATTAGAGTGGCAGTGAAACAGTGTGAATAATAAAACATTTATATTACAAGCTGAGTTAAGAGAACTTTTGAAAGGAATGCTTTGTTAGTGGTCTAGTTTCTCTTGTCTTTCCAAGATTACAACAACAATGAAAATTGATGAACTAAGTTTGAAGCATCGTCTGGCACTTTTTAAATGGGTAATTGAAGGCCATAAACTGCTGCTTCCTAATGTTTCAGCAAAACATCAGGGGTTTTTTGTTAATGCTGATTCACATTTTGTCTGAAAATAGTGATGCTGATGCTTTATGTAGCAGCTTGTGTCAATGTGTATCTTGTTCCTGCTCTGTAAACAGGCATAGAAGTTACACCTGTGGTGAGTGGAATTGAAGCAGAAGTGTGTGGAAAGTTAATTCACACAATTTGGTTGTCAGTTAAGCTCACAGTTATGAGGACAGAGAAAGCTACCTGTATTTAGGAGACAGTAGTTCCTGTGGATAAAATAATGAAATATAGAGAGCTGTTGTATATAGTTAATCTCTAAATGAAGTCCTTTCCATGATGAATTCTGTCTGTTAATTTTTTTTCCACAACTTTAAATTGTTTTGTAGACTTGTACAATAAGTTCTAGCCTAGCCACAGATAGCTACAATAAATTTTGTATATGATTCAGCATTTTAGCAATTCTGGTTTTTGTAGCACTTGCTTTAAGTGCTTTCTTCAGGAAGTGTTATAAACGCGTCATTAATTTTGCCAAGGTGTGGTTTGCTTCTTTTTTTTCCACACAGGAATTTGGCAGCCTGCTGTTCTGTCAGTGTTGTGTATAGTTCTTTCCTAGATTGTGAAGTAAAGGTAGAAGAAAAAAAGCCTTTGTAAACAAATTAAATGTATTTGGAGAAGACAAAATCTGAAAAGGTTGTTAAGGTGTATGGTTGGTATAAAATCTGTGAGAAGAAAATGAAAGCCTGGACAAAAATGGAGCACTCACCTGAGTTTGGTTGTGGTGTGTCCAGAATGCTTGCAGGAGAAAAATTATTTTGAGAGCCTGTGAACCGTTGTAGGCCAGTTATTTGGGTGAAGCAGCTGAGGGTTGAGGGCAAAATAAGTAACAGTTGGAATAGTGCAGGGGCAAGTACACAGTGTCTGGTACACTGAAAGCTTGGAATAAACTTTGATTTTATTATGGGAGAAAACTGACTTCTGTTTTTTAATTGCACAAATGAAGTTCAAGACAACTGAATTATGCATTTGTATGTTCTGGTGTCTTTTATAGGCAAATATTATAGAAAAAAATATAATATTTGAGATTTTGGACAAGGTTGTTGGGCACTCAGTTTATTAAAAGGATTTCTGTGTAATGCTGCAGACTGACGGGCAAGAGTGTTATGAGAAAATATGAATGTTAATAAAATTTTCATGTGGTTAAAAATTTTTTACTACTCCTGTGTGCAGTCCTAGAAACAGGCAGGGACAGTTTGTGGTGAAGAATTCTGTGCAGTTATTTATCAGTATGGGGCTCTTTTTCCTTCTTTTTAGGGCTCTGAACATATGAGTCTAAATGGATGAATTATTTTCTTTTTCTTAGTAATAATTTAGTTCCTCTAACTGGTAAACTGTTTCTTCTTGCAGAGCTGAAATCAGCTGTATTTGATGACTTCACCAAAGAGGAAGAATGGAAGGTACGCATTTTTAAAAATTTTTATAAGAATTCTGTCATCACTTGAACAAGAAATATGTATCACTGAATAGAGAACAGATACATGAAATTAATGTCTGGCATTTTCACTCAAGATTGTTTTCTGTCCAAGTAATAGACTTTACTTTTGGTAACTCAGATCTCTGTATAATACATATTGAAAAATCTAGAGTCTAGTACAGGAAGAACAAATGGTTAGTAGTCTCTTTTTTTTATTAGACGTGATGAAAAATTAGAAACTGTTTGTATTTATCTTCACTTTCATTTTGAAATACTTGTTCTTTATTAATTTCAAAAATTACACTTACTTCAGTACATGTGGAGCAGGATTCAGCAGTATGATACCTGTTAGAACTACTTAAGCTATAAAACAGTTTTAAAATAAATACAGGAATATTTGAGCAGGCCATGGGGTAAATTAACAGGAATTCAAAAGACTTACGTCCAAGTGAAACTTTCAAAGTACTTCGTAGTATGAGTAGGGGGGAAAAAAGCTCATCTTCAAGACTGAGCTTCTGCCTTCTGAAATTCATTTCCCCCTGCAATGTTGGTGTATGCAGATAATGAAAAAATAGAGTAATACAATAGTTTTAGCTTCCAACTTTTATGGCAAGTTGTTGAGGAAATGTCATGGGTTTCATGTAGCTGATTAATTTGTCTAAATACTTGTGTTTTTAAAAAATATGTTTAGGTAATGCTTTTAGATGATTACACTACTAAATTACTGTCACTGTGCTGCAAAATGACTGATCTACTGGCAGAGGGTGTCACAGGTAAGCAGGACTCTTATTAATACACCAATGCAATATCCTGGTAAGAAAAAGGGAAAGACTGAAAATTATGAAATTGATAGTAGCCTTGGAAGAAATGGTCTTTATTTGGTTGTTGAAGACAAGTAATTACGGGATATTAAAATAGTAGGCTTTCAGGCTTATACAGTAGTTAGTCAGTTGTGATGGGGTTCTCTTAAGTGAAAAAACCCCAAATATTTCTCTGCCTGAAAGCTCAGATCTCCCTTTCAATTTTTCCTTTTCTAAAGATTGTTTTTTCAGTTTGTTTTTTGTGCTTTTACTTTTTTTTTTGTTTGGCTGTTGTGGTGGTTTTTGGTTTGGGGTTTTTGGTGGGCTTTTCTTTTGGGAGGTGGGAATGGGTGTTTGTTTGCTGATCCCTATTTTTGAAATTGAAATAAATTCCCAAAATGTAAATGAATTAATTTTAATTAACT